GTGTGTTGAAATTTTTAACCCGCCGCCTTTGTTTAGCTGTTTTATAGGGCGGCTGTGAGTAGTTTAGGGCGCGACCGAAAAAATTGCTAAAGGAAAAAGTGCGACAATTGCCAGCTCTTTTCGTTTGCTATTTTAGTTTCGAAAAATCCAGCAAAATGTTAAAGGGCGACACTGTTATTTTGCTTGTAACATTGTTATTTGACATCCAATCAAAAAAGGCTTCAAGCAAAACATGAAGAACGTGCGAAGCTCTTGAAGGGTGTGTTGAAATTTTTAACCCCCCGCCTTTGTTTAGCAGTTTTATAGGGCGGCAGTGAGTAGTTTAGGGCGCGACAGAAAAAATTGCTAAAGGAAAAAGTGCGACAATTGCCAGCTCTTTCGTTAGCTATTTTAGTTTCGAAAAATCCAGCAAAATGTTAAAGGGCGACACTGTTATTTTGCTTGTAACAGTGTCATTTGACATCCAATGAAAAAAGTCTTCAAGCAAAACATGAAGAACGTTCGAAGCTCTTGAAGGGTGTGTTGAAATTTTGGACCCTCCGCCCTTGTTTGGCAGTTTTATTGGGGGGCAGTGAGTAGTTTAGGGCGCGACAGAAAAAAATGCTTATGGAAAAAGTGCGACAGTTACCAGCTCTTTTCGGTCGGTATTTTAGTTTAGCAAAATCCAGCAAAATGTTAAAGGGCGGCACTGTTATTTTGCTTGTAACACTGTTAGTGGGCCTCCAATCAAAAAACTTTTCAAGGAAAACATAAAGAACGTTTGAAGGTCTTGAAGGGCGTTTTAAGATTTTTGACCCCCCGCCCTTGTTTGGCAGTTTTATTGGGCGGCAGTGACTAGTTTAGGGCGCGACAGAAAAAATTGCTTATAGAAAAAGTGCGACAATTACCAGCTCTTTTTGTTCGCTATTTTAGTTTCGAAAAATCCAGCAAAATTTTAAAGGGCGGCCATGTTATTTTCCCTGTATCTTTGTCATTTGGCATCCAATCAAAAAACTTTTTGAATAAAAAATTATCGGTATTTAAAGGTCTTGAATGTTGTTTGAAAATTTTGGCCACCGCGGCTGTCATAAGCCATTGTACAGGGCAGCATTGGCCAGTTTATTGCGCGATTGAAAAAATTTCTTGACAAAAAATTGCGACACTTTACCGCTCTGTATGTTCGGTTTTTTCCTTCGGAGAAAATCAGGCCAATTTTAAAGGGCGGCCATGTTATTTTCCCTGTATCTTTGTCATTTGGCATCCAATCAAAAAACTTTTTGAATAAAAAATTATCGATATTTAAAGGTCTTGAATATTGTTTGAAAATTTTGGCCACCGCGGCTGTCATAAGCCATTGTACAGGGCAGCATTGGCCAGTTTATTGCGCGATTGAAAAAATTTCTTATCAAAAAATTGCGACACTTTACCGCTCTGTATGTTCGGTTTTTTCCTTCGGAAAAAATCAGGCCAATTTTAAAGGGCGGCCATGTTATTTTCCCTGTATCTTTGTCATTTGGCATCCAATCAAAAAACTTTTT